TTATGAAAACTTATGTTATGAAACACAAAGTTACTTTAAATAACTTTCAAATTGATTATTAAAAATAAATAAATAATAATCAAAACAAAGGATTCCTCAATCTACTTCCAATTAAATGGAATAACACCACTATTTAAACTATCATGTTTTGTGCTGCCTCTAATTTTGGGAACATCGGTAATATAATACTATAATACACCGGGATTTGACTAGCGGACACACAACATTATACAAATAATTAAGCACGAAATATAAATAATTACACTAAAAAAATATTAATAATAGTTGCAGATAAAATTCTTCAAGTCATTAAATACATATTAGTTTCTTGATACAACAAGATTATCCAAAATATAGGAAATATAAAATCTAATCTCTAAGGCAGCCATGGTTCCTCAAAGCTTTTAAGGATTTCATTCTCGGTGTAAAACTCGCCTTCACTTGGCATAAAACACCATGAGCTTGGAATGCCCAGTAAACCCACACACCCCGTCCCTTTTCCCATTCCAAATACACAAGTAAAATAATGGCACAATTATAACATACAACGAAAACAATAATTAAGTAGAGCTTATAATTAAATTTTGGTTTTCAAGAATAAAAGTCAATTAAGTTAGTTCTAGGTAACTCTCTGCGGAATGTCGTTCCTACCCAACCACTAGCACTGGCCACGGGCAATTCTGACTCCCCCTTGATTAATACAATACCAATGCGTCACTTACTGCATAACCACCAGTGTCGCTTACAAAATTACCAATGATGCCCGTGCACCTAGGTTACATACCGAGTGGTGACATCACGGTCTGCCCTAAGGGTACGGGCTTCTAGGGATGCTCTTCTTGTGTGAGACCCTCACTGCCACCCTTATGTCTCCCAATTCCGTTAAGCAGCTAGAATTTCTCCTGTGCCATGTTAGGGTTCGAGAACACACTTGTGCAAGACTTCACAAAAATGGAACACATTCCACTATATTATACTCTTGAATCCATCGTTTATTATCTCATAAAATTTACTATAATGATCGCAACCCTTTACCATCCCATTTGATTTCCCCTTTATTAAGTGCATTATTTTCTCGGCTATAGCAAAGCATGTTCAAGATAATTACGAAACCAAACTAAACATAAAGTAATTTATGCATGGTAAAACAAATTCATAATTTATCGTAGTTTACATATCAACACAAATTTCCAGAATTTCAAATTTGAACCAATTGTAAAATAATTATGAAAAAAATACTTTTATTGGCTCTAAGTACCTGGCCTTACTTGAGTTTGTAGATAAATGACTCTAGTTTCAAACTCAATTTACAAAAGTAGAATAAGTATTTTAGATTTTAAGATAATTCAGAATTATCAAGATCTATCCAGATTCGTTGGCTGTTATACAAATCGATTTTTCTCTCAAACTTCTCACTCTCTTGAGTTCAAACAAATTTTAGTTAGAATATAACACCAACATTAAGATTTTGACATAAAATTGGACTCAAGATTATTTTTCTAGAATCTTTTGAAAATAGAGAAAGTTGACTGCTTTTCTAATTCTGTGACGATTTTGGAGTTGGACCTATTCATGCCTTGGAGATTGAAAATCAAACGCACAAACAATTCTTAAGGTTTTACATCCACACAGCAGATACAAAAGAATACAATGAATAAGGCATGCACTCGAGTTATAAAACTGATTAACAAAAGGAAATTTACATCGTCTATATTCATATTACAAAAAGTCATTCAAAAGAGTTATAAGTAATATCCTAGTTACATTTTTCCTAAGTTAGCCATGGTTCGTACTACGGTTCCTTAGGTTCATATGTGGTGTACTGCTCTTCCTCAAGATACTGCTTAGTGAGATGTTCATTTTCTCTCATTGCAGTGCAAAATATTCTGCTTGTTGGCCTTTGATTGTTAACTGATCCAGATTTCTGATTGCTCTCCGCCTTGTAATTTTGTTGCCTAGTAGTTCCCAACTTAGTTACACACGGTTGCTGCCCACCGATAACATGCATATTTGCTCCCAAGCGCTCTCCTCAATTTCTGACCAATTGGAGGCATTCAAACCTCTTGTGTCCCATCTGTTGACAATGATAGCACTGGATCAACCCAACTGGTCTTGCTTGAAAACTCTCCTTCAGATTTTACTATTGCGATTGTTGGGGTTGTTGGGGTTCCCTAGAATACGACTTTTGTGCTGCATGCCTTCGACTATTCCTTTCCGGTCCCACATTGGATTGATTGTTTTCTTTATAAAAACTGCAAATCCTCTTGGAATCTGCCACCTCCCGTTCTGAATTAAGTGTTGTGTCAACCATATCTACAAAAGTGGGAAGTCGCATGGGCAAAACTCTTCCTCGAATTGTAGGGTCTAGAACCCATTCAAATTTTCTTGCTTTGTTTTCATTGATTACTACGTATCGAGTCGCATAACGTGCCAACTCCTCAAACTTTTCCATGTATTGGGTCACTGTTATCATGCCTTGTTCTAGGTTCTAAAATTCATGAATTTTTTCTTGGTTGATTGTGTTCAGGAAGTACTTTCTCAAAAATAACTCCTTAAACTACGCCCATGTCATTGTGGTGATGTACTTGGATTCCCGAATCAAGGCCCGCAAATGATCTGCTTCCCCTTCTACTTGGTAAACTACTAGAGCAATCCTATCAATGTAATACCCCGACCTATGATTAACGTTAATCCACGAGTTCATATGCCTAATAAGTTATTAAGATCAAATTCTGAATTAATTACATGTGTGTTACATTATTTGTGTTTATATTTGTTTAACATTGAAAGATCTGTTCATGTTTTCGTTTCGGTTTGCGAATTGAAGGCCTTATTGGCATCCGATTTAGAAATTAACTTGATATATGCATTATTTGGAATTTATAGGAATTTATGGTAGGTTCAATTAAAAGTCGATTTGGAACGAATTAAATTAGAATGATTTCATGTTCATTAGATTAGTAGTAAGCTAATTAATTAATTTGTTTGATCAAGCCTACATAAGGCCACCTCAATACCTCATATACACTTTTTGCACTCTTATTTCCTTTTGCTTAAGCTCAAAAATGTGTGAAGAGGGAGACTAAGAGGGGAGTGACTTCAAACAAAGGAATTGATTGAGGATTTGGAGATTTAGCTTTGAACTTCAATCAATTAACTCTAGAGAGAGCATAGTTGAGCATCAAAGGTAAGAAATCTAACCCTTAGTTGTGTAATTGAGTTAGGTTTTGTAAGAATTCAAGTAAAGGAGGTGAACTAACATGAGAATGAGCTAGGATTAAAGAATTGTAACTCAAATCAAATATGCATGTGCATATCGTGAAGTTTTGAAGTTATTTTTACAAAAATTCTCACATGCATGTTCATATCTTAGTTTTGTTCAAAGAATTCAACTTGTTTTCGAGCTTAATTGCAAAAGGGGTACACCAGCCAGAAAAAGAGGTCACCAGCCAAAACAAAGTGCCAGTCGACAGAATATAGTGCCGACCGGCCATTGGTTTTAAGAAACCACTGCCGGTGGCACCAATAAACGACCAGTGATGTGAGGGGATAGCCGGTGGGGTGTGGGAATGGCCAACGAGCCATTCCCTGCCTTTCAAGGAAAAAAACGCAAGTGCTTGGTGCAAAACCAGACACCGAAAAGTCGAGTCGAGAGATCCTGAGGCGAGGCGCGCAGCCGAGGCCTCCGGGAACTCGAGACGAACACAAGCACGGATGATCACCGAGTGTTCCAACGGTGACGTCCAAGTCTTGAGGACGGTCAAAAATGGGGTGTCTACACGTGCCATGAGCTATTTGATCTGTCTGCTCTGTCTGTCTGCTTTTGGAGCCAATTGTGATTAATAACTTAGTATAGCTATGTTCAACTTTATTTATTTTATGTATGATAAAATAAGATCTGTTTTCTGAAATGTTATATTCTGTATAATGAATGATTGCCCAATTTCCGAAATGTATTCGTGGCATCATTAGCATATATGTTAGTTGTTACCTGGTATCAAAGGTCCCATTATGGAACTTAATATGTTTGCATTTTGTTAACCGTACCGGAGGCTCCATCATGGAGCTCAACATATTTGTCATCTGTTACCCAGATCCAGAGGTTCTTTTATGGAACTAGTTACTCATAACCACCATCTGTTCTGTATCTGTTCTGTTAGCGCTAATGGATGTACCACGTATGATTAAGCATGAACTCTAATTTATGTATATGATTCGAACAATAATACGAATATGAACGTGATTTTATTTTTGAATTTGAATTCTTATTTCTAAATCTGGTATGGACATCGTTCATTAAAACGCTTTACCCTATTATTATTCACTAGTCTCCCGCTCACTATTTATATTATGTATATAGGTGAGCAAGCACGTGACCAGGCCTAAGCTGTTGCCTGGAAAGTTTTGGGGTCAACCAGCTACTGTGCCTCTCGGGGAGGTTCCCGTGTATAGAAGTCGAATTTTGTGGACCATGTCAAGAGTTATCTTGTGCATTATGTTAAGAACGTTTATTTTTTGTTTATCTATGTGCTGGGCTAAGTCCCTTTTGATGGCGCTTGTACGGTGTTGCAAGACTTATACAGGCATGACATCTTGTGTGTATAATTTATAAGGTTTCAAATTTCTGTCGCATGTATGTCTGCATAACTCTATGGATTATGTATATTTTGTATATTTGCTTTCGCAGTCCCTATTTATGTGTTATTCTGTTAAGAGGCCTTTGGTAATCTAGGGATTACTGGCCAGTTACGACGCTAAACTTATAGGGACGGGTTTGGGTTATGACAGAGTGGTATTAGAGCATGAGTTATACCGCACACACGAGTCCATTGAGCTATAGAATCTCCTAGAAAAGAATTAGGGACATTTCATTGGCATGTGTGAGTGTGTGAAAATCTTTATAAATATGGAAACTGAATTTGAACCTGAGTAAATGAAATTAAAAGAAATGAACAAGATTATTCCTATGTTTATTATTAACATTGTCTCTCTATAGCATTATGGAAAATACAAGAAGTAATGATACAAGTGAATCCTCAGAGACTCGTATGAGTCGTGTAGAACAAATGCTTGCAGTGCTGATAGAAACAGTGATGCAACAACAAAGGCAACAACCTTTGCCCCTACCGCCTCCACCAGCACAAAATGAGCCAGGCAATAATGATATAATCAACTTGACTCAGAAATTCATGAAGATGAAACCGCCAACTTTCCTGGGAAGTATTGAACCATTAAAGGCTGAAACATGGTTGTTAGAAATGGAGAAATTATTCAAAGTGTTTCCCTATTTTGAGATTCAGAAAGTTCTTTTGGCCACCTACACTCTGAAAGATAAAGCCCGGAGATGGTGGTTATTGATCCGAAATAATAATGGAAATATGACATGGGCTCAATTTAATGCGATCTTCTATGACAAGTACTTTCCTCAGTGCTTTCAGGACCGAAAGGTTTTAGAATTTCAGGAACTCAAGCAAGCCAACATGTCTGTAGCCGAGTATGAGGCTAAATACACGGAACTAGCTCGGTTTGCTCCTTATATAGTGGATACGGACTATGAGAAAGCTCGCAAATTTGAGGGTGGATTGGATTTAGATATACTAGATCGGGTAGGAGTCCTCAACCTACCTACGTATGTGAATGTATTGGATAGGGCATTGATGGTGGAAGCCATTTTGGCAGCAAAGAAACAAGCTCTTGTCCTAACAAGTGAATGGAGGGGCAAAAGATCGGGGTCTAATTTCAAAAGAGGTCGGTCATTCTCAAAGAAGCAAAATACGAGATCTTACAGTAGTTCAAGCCAAAGTAGTGGATTTGTGCCGACTTGCTCAGAATGTGGGGTTTGTTATCGAGCATCAGGTGCCTGTTTTAGGTGTGGTAAAACCGGCCATATGATGAGAGATTGTCCTATCAAGTTCGAAAATACCAATCACCCCGCAACAAGTTCAGTCGGATCCGCCTTGGCATCAAGAATGAGTACAAAAGCTAACACCGAGAAGGAAACCTTAAGGCAGGGTCGAGTATTTGCTCTTGTGCTTGGTGATGTATAGAACACCAAATCTGTGGTGTCAGGTATAATTTCTATCTGTGCTCAGAATGCTTATGTGCTGATTGATTCTGGTTCCACGCATTCATTTGTATTTCGTGCTTTTTCTTGAAAATTAACTAGACCGTTAGAACCTATGAACTGCTTACTATTTGTGTCTACACCAACTGGGGGTTCTATAATATGTGCATATGTTTATCCAGCATGTGATATTGTAATTGGTGAAATGACATTGTATGTTGATTTGCTGCCCCTGAGCATTGATCACTTTGATTGTATTCTAGGTATGGATTAGTTGACTAAGTACTGTGCTACCATTGTCTGTGCAAGTAAATTTGTTGTATTTAGACTACCTGGTATGCCTGAATTTGTTTTTACTAGGAATGGGATAGCTCCTCCACCATACTTGATTTCATTTATGAAAGCCATAAAATCATTAAGAAAGGGTTGTCAGGGCTACTTGTGTTGTGTGTTGACAAAGTCTTCGGATGGTACTAAAGTGGAAACAATACCCATAGTCCATGAATTTCCTGATGCATTTCCTATTGACCTACCTGGGGACTTAATTGATAGGGAAATTAAGTTTACTATTGATGTAGTACCTGGAACACAACCTATCTCCAAGACTCCTTATAGAATGTCCACTTCTGAACTGAAAGAATTAAAAACTCAACTCCAAGAACTACTAGACAAGAAGTTTATTCGTCCAAGCACTTCACCTTGGGGTGCTCCATTGTTATTTGTTAAAAGAAAGACGGGTCCTTAAGGCTGTGTATTGATTACCGTAAGTTGAATAAAGTAACTGTCAAGAAAAAGTACCCATTACCCCGAATAGATGACCTATGTGACCAACTTCAAGGAGCCCAAGTATTTTCTAAAATTAACCTTAGATTCGGGTATCACTAGTTAAAGGTCAAGGCAGAAGATGTAGAGAAAACTGCATTCAAAACTAGATATGTGCATTATGAATTCCTAGTCATGCCATTTGGGGTAACTAATGCACCTGTGGCATTCATGGACTTAGTGAACCAAGTGTTCAAACAATTCCTTGATGAGTTTATTGTTGTGTTTATCGATGATATATCGATTTATTCTAAAAGCAGGGAGGAACATGAGAATCATCTAAGAATTGCCTTACAGACCCTAAGGGAAAAGAAATTATATGAGAAATTCTCCAAATGTGAATTTTGGCTTGACAATGTGGCATTCTTGGGACATGTAATCAACAAGGACAGTATCTCCGTTGACTCATAGAAAATTGAAGCTATTGTGGACTGGCCCAGACCGACAAATGTAACAGAAGTTTGAAGTTTTCCAAGACTTGCAGGCTATTATCGTAGATTTGTAAAAGATTTTTCCAAACTTGCTCTACCGCTTGCTCAATTGACACAGAAAGCTACATCATTTGATTGGACTGATCAAAGAGAGACTGCTTTCCGAGAGTTAAAGACCAGATTAGTAACTACACCAATTTTGACTTTACCTAATGGTACTGATGGGTTTCAGATTTATAGCGATGCGTCCTACAAAGGTTTGGGTTGTGTATTAATGCAAAATGGAAAGGTAATTGCCTATGCTTCTCAGCAATGCCGACCACATAAAAAGAATTACCCAACTCATGATCTTGAACTAGCAACTGTGGTGTTTGCTTTGAAAATTTGGCGACATTATCTGTATGGTGCGACTTGTGAAGTGTACCTGGACCATAAAAGCCTCAAATATTTCTTCACCCAGAAAGAATTGAACATGAGACAGAGAAGAAGTTTAGAGTTGATTAAAGACTATGATTTGCAGATTATGTATTATCCGGGAAAAGCTAATACTGTGGCAGATGCCTTGAGCCGAAAGTCAATAGGAAATTTGTCATGCTTGCTCACTGGTCAGAAAGAATTACTATGTGACTTGGAAAAGAATGAGATTGAGGTTGTATTGCGAGAACAAGGTGGAGTCTTAGCCGCTATCTTCGCCCAACTTGCAATCATTGAAGAAGTAAGAGAGAAACAACTGCAAGATGAATTTTTGAAAAAGATCGTGGATGAAATTGACTCAAAACCAAGGCCCGGGTTTGTACTTGAGAATAAAGTGTTGAAATTTTAGGGTCGCCTTTGTGTACCGAACTATGATGATTTAAGGAAACGTGTTCTGATTGAAGCTCATAATTCCAAATTTGCTATGCATTCGGGAAACACAAAGATGTAACATGACTTGAAACAATACTTCTGGTGGCCGGGAATGAAAAAGTGTATTGCAGACTTTGTGGCTAGATGCTTGCATTGCGAACAAGTTAAAGCTGAGCATCAATGATCCGCCAGATTACTTCAACCGCTTCCGATATCAGAATGGAAATAGGAGCACATCACGATGGACTTTATCGTCGGTCTACCTCGCTCTTCTTGAGGTATGGATTCTATCTGGTTTATAATTGATCGTTTAACTAAGTCTGCCCATTTTATGCTTGTTAAAACTATTTATAATGTGGACAAGTTAGCTAACATATATATGAATGAAATTGTGAGATTACATGGTGTACCAGTATCTATTGTATCTGACAGCGATTCTAAGTTTACATCAAGATTCTGGCAGAGTTTACAACAGGCTTTGGGAACTAAATTATGATTGAGTAGTGCCTACCATCCACAGACAGATAGTTAATCCAAAAGAACCAATTAGACTTTGGAAGATATGCTGCGGATGTGTGTGTTAGACTTCCAAGGGAATTGGGAGACTTATCTTCCTTTAGCCGAGTTTGTATACAATAATAGCTATCATTCAAGTATTGGGATGGCTCCTTATGAAGTTCTGTATGGAAGGAAATGTCGTTCTCCTATCTGTTAGGCTGAAGTAGGCGATAGACCATTGTTGAGCCTAGAACTTGTGCAGGAAACTACTGAAAACATGAAATTGATTGAACAAAGATTGAAAATCGCACAAAGCTGCCAAAAGAGTTATGCAAATATCCGCAGGAGAGACAGAGAATATGAAGTCAAGGATTATGTGTTCATAAAAATAACTCCAATGAAGGGTCAAACACGATTTGGAGTGAAATAAAAGCTAGCACCAAGATACATTGGCCTGTATGAAGTTTTAGAGAAAATCAACTCAGTGACATACCGAGTGGCTTTACCTCCAGTGATGGAAAATATGCAGAATGTTTTTCATGTTTCAATGCTTCAAGATTACTTGCGAGATCCGCTCCATGTGATAGAACGGACTCATGTTCTTTTGAAAGATGACTATACGTACGAAGAGAGGCTAATACAGATTGTTAATCGAAGAAACAAGAGATTGAGAAACAAAGAAATTCCATTGGTGAAAGTCGACTGGTAGAATCATGAAGGAACCTATGCAACTTGGGATACAGAGGAAGATATAATGAAAAGATACCCTGAACTGTTTCCTTTGGACCTGGTATTCTTCTAAAATGAAGGTAACTTGAGTTTGGAGGACCAAACTCTTTAAGGGGGGAATGCTGTAACATCCCGACCCATGATTAACATTAATCCATGAGTTTATATGCCTAAGAAGTTATTAAGATCAAATTCTGAATTATTTACATGTGTGTTACATTATTTGTGTTTATATTTGTTTAACATCGAAAGATCTGTTCATGTTTTCGTTTCGGTTTGCGAATTGAAGGCCTTATTGGCATCCGATTCAGAAATTAACTTGATATATGTGTTATTTGAAATTTATAGGAATTTATGATAGGTTCAATTAAAAGTTGATTCGGAATGAATTAAATTAGAGTAATTTATGCTCATTAGATTAGTAGTAAGCTAATTAATTAATTTGTTTGATCAAGCCTATAGGCCACCTCAATACCTCATATAAACTTTTTGCACTCTCATTTCCTCTTGCTTGAGCTCAAAATCGTGTAGAGAGGGAGACTAAGAGGGGAGTGACTTCAAACAAAGGAATTGCTTGAGAATTTGGAGATTTAGCTTTGAACTTCAATCAATTAACTCTAGAGAGAGCATAGTTGAGCATCAAAGGTAAGAAATCTAACCCTTAGTTGTGTAATTGAGTTAGGTTTTGTAAGAATTCAAGTAAAGGAGGTGAACTAACATGAGAATGAGCTAGGATTAAAGAATTGTAACTCAAATCAAATATGCATGTGCATATCGTGAAGTTTTGAAGTTATTTTTACAAAAATTCTCACATGCATGTTCATATCTTAGTTTTGTTCAAAGAATTCAACTTGTTTTCGAGCTTAATGACTCATTTGATTATGTGTTGAAAGGTTAGAATTCATGACATTACATGCAAGTTATGTAATCTAAATTTCAAGTTTTGTTTACTACAATTGGCAAAGCTTTTGAGCTTGATTTTGCAAAATAGTCTGTAATTCATCATGTATTATGAGTTTCTTAATGTTTTACTAAGTTTTGGTCCAAAAGGATGTCTTTTGAAGGTTTTTAAATTGAGTTTTGCGCTTGGGAGCAAATTTGGAAATTTCAAAATTTTGCTCCTACACTGGAGTGAAATGCATGCTCCCAAAAGTTCTTATGTTTTGCAGGCTGCACGAGCGGCAAAAGTTGAGCTCGAGCGAGGGCATGTCTCTCATGCTCGAGTGAGTGTCGAGTGAGCATCAAGTAGAAAAATCAAACAACCAGCACTTTGCAAAAGTTTACAGACCGCTCGAGCGATAGATCTTGCACTCGAGCTACCACTCACATTTTGCATGTTCGCTCGAGCGTAGGAATTTGTGCTCGAGCGAGGACCCTGTTTTCAGCAAGTTTTGTTAAGTGTTTTCAAGTGCATTTTTGCATCCTCATTCCATTCTAGGCATTCTTAGGCCAAGATAAAGGCACAATAATGAGGATAGAAGTACACACACACCAAGATAAGAAAGAACAAAGTAAATGTTTCTGGGTATGTAATCTAGTATGTATTTGTTTTATACCTGTGTAGGTCACGTGCCACAAGATATCTGAATTGCCTACTCTATTCGTCTATTTGGAGCCATCCGTTATTTGTGAGTAATAACTCTGTAAAGTCATGTTTGACTTTGATTATTTTCTGATGATATGGAATGATTAATTTTCTGAAATGCTATGTTTTGTGTGAATGAATGACCGTCCATGTTTCTAAAATGTACTTGTGGCATCCATAGCATCATGTGATATTATGGTTATTCCTTTATGGGTCATTGGAATGCCTTTATGGTTGTCCCTTTATGGGTTATCAGAAACGTCTCTGTGTACATGAGTCATTGGAATGCCTTTATGGCCGTCCCTTTGTCGGTTATCGGATTTGTTAGCGTTAATAGATGTACCATGTATGATCATATGCAAAATCTGAATATGAATATGAATAAAAATCTATTTTTGATTCAAAATCTGAATATGCATAAGACTCTATTTCTGATAAGAATCTATTTCTAATATGAACTCTGATTTCAGTCTCTGTGATGGTCATCATTCATTAAAACCCCTTTACTTTGTTATTATTCACTGGGCTCCCTCTCTCTATTTATATTATATATGTAGGTGACCAGGCTCGTGACCAGGCTTAAGATGATGCCTGAAGGGTTTGTGTTTTTCAGCTACCCTTTGTGCCTCCCGAGGAGGTTCCGGATCATGTCAGGTCCCATGGCCATGTTTTTGTGAATATTTAAGACTTTGGTTCTTTTGTTTTGATTATGGATAAATTTCTTTTTATATGTATAGTACATGGAGTGACGTGTATTAACTGTATCTTTTAATGTCACACGTATCTTTATTAAAGTTTAAAAATATCTATTTCATGTATGTCTTCACGCTTAATGGACTATGTATATTTCTGTTTATTGCTTCTGCAGCCCCTAATTTCACGTTATTTTGTTAAGAAGCCTTCGGTAATCCAAGGGTTATTGGCCGGTTACGACGCTAAATCTATAGGGGCGGGTTTGGGTCGTGAGAAAGTGGTATCAGAGCACGTGTTCTACCACACACACGAGTCCATATGAACTTAGGGTGTCCTAGTAAGAAGTAGAGGCATTCCATCTATATGTGTAAGTGTGTGTTCATTGAAAGTGAAAACTAAATCTGATTATAACCACAAGATATGGAAACAAACGATCTAAATGTTGTAAAAGGACTGTTTGCCTATGTTTATAATGTTCTGTTTACCTATAATAAATGGAAAATACAAGAAGTGATGGAATAGCTGAATCATTCGAAGCCCAAATGAACAGAATGGAATAGATGCTCGCAGCTCTAACCGAGGCAATAACACAACAACAAAGGCAACAACCTTTGCCTCATCTGCCGCCGCCAGTACAAGTTGAAATGGGCAACAATGACATTATCAACTTGATTCAGAAGTTCATGAAAATGAAACCACCAACTTTCCTAGGTGGCATTGAGCCGTTAAAGGCAGAAACATGGCTACTTGAGATGCAAAAATTATTTGAGGTCTTTCCCTGCTTTGAGACTCAAAAGGTTCTTTTGGTCACATATACCTTAAAGGATGAAGCCCGTAGATGGTGGTTGCTAGTTCGGAGTAGTAATGAGAACATGACATGGGATCAATTTAATGCGATCTTCTATGACAAGTATTTTCCTCAGTACTTTCGGGATTAAAAAGTGTCTGAATTTCACGAACTTAAGCAAGGCAGAATGTTTGTAGCTGAGTACGAGGCTAAGTCCACGAGTTAACCAGATTTGCTCCTCACATGGTGGACACGGACTATAAGAAAGCCTGCAAATTTGAGGGTGGATTGGATTTAGATATACTAGATCGGGTAGGAGTCCTCAACCTACCTACGTATGTGAATGTATTGGATAGGGCATTGATGGTGGAAGCCATTTTGGCAGCAAAGAAACAAGCTCTTGTCCTAACAAGTGAATGGAGGGGCAAAAGATCGGGGTCTAATTTCAAAAGAGGTCGGTCATTCTCAAAGAAGCAAAATACGAGATCTTACAGTAGTTCAAGCCAAAGTAGTGGATTTGTGCCGACTTGCTCAGAATGTGGGGTTTGTTATCGAGCATCAGGTGCCTGTTTTAGGTGTGGTAAAACCGGCCATATGATGAGAGATTGTCCTATCAAGTTCGAAAATACCAATCACCCCGCAACAAGTTCAGTCGGATCCGCCTTGGCATCAAGAATGAGTACAA